AAAATAAAGGCAATATGTTTAGTAATCATGTAGATTGTGTATATATATATATATATATATATATATATATGCGTCAAAAATATTATTTGATAACAAGACATGGATAAGGAAGGAAAAGGTAACATATATTACAAACTTTATTCTATATGTAAAACAAGGGAATCTGTGTGGGTTGACTTCAAAAAACCTGATTTTTTGTTTCTATCAAGAATTTGAAATGCTGATTCCATTATTCTGTTCCAGACCTTACAAATTCATAAAGCTTCATAAGCAGTGCACCTGAACATGACTCCTGTAATATCATACTGGGAATCTTTACTATGATAATGTTGTTGTATCAGCTACAAAGTCTATTTTTAGCGGCCCAAAATGGCACTATTAATTGTCCTGAACTTCCCTTTTTATGCCATTCTCAAGCTGAGCTCACGTACAATGTAAAACCTTCTTAGTAAAATACCAATCCATTTGCATATAAATAAATGGCAAGTATATAGGGTGAACAACTGTACCAGCTTGTATCAGGGGGCTAAAAAAGAGTTGATGTAGGAAAATACAAACCATTTCATATATATTGCCTGTTGAGAGCCAGAACGACATTACCTCTGTGTTAAAGGGATCGTTTAACAATGTTAAATCTGAGATACACGGCCCTACGTGTTATCAGTGTCTGTGATATGGTGTAATATTGAAGCCCTAAAAAAATTGCGCTTCAAAATGATCAAGAAGTGCCTCAAAAAAGTAAAAATCTTGGAGTGACCGGTTTTACCATACTCGTTTTCCCCAATAGACTGTAGTGTTATGAAAACCGTCAGGCGAACGGTTTTCAAAATTTGTAATTCCAATCATAAATATCTTGATAATCAGACAGGCGATCGGCTTGTAAAAGTCATGGGGTTCCTGACTGACCTAAAGGTTTATAATTATCATTGCATCATGAGCTAAATCCAGAATTTTGTTTCAGAATCTGAGACAAAGTTACCGGATCCCTTTAAGGTATATCAGTTAATGTCCTTCTCGCTTCAAAGCAGACAATATTTAAATTATCATCGCAAACCTCACTTATATCTTTGTTAAAAGATACAGAAATATGGAGGACACTTTATTCCCATGTCAGTTTGTATTGCTGCAACTTTTTTTCTCAGGTTGTTTTGCAATGTAACGTATGAACAAGGTTTTAAATGATCACATGCTGAGAACGAAGGTTTTTATCTTTTGCGCTTTCCTTTGTGTTGTATTCATGCACCATTCTTTTGCATAAATACCTTGCTGAAAAGGCTGTGTGGATAGAAGAATAACAAATGTGAGGCTGATATTTTTTTAGTTGTATACCAGGTATTCATCACCAGGAACCTACCAGTAAACATGTCGGCCATTTTGTGCAAAATAACCTGTCCAGGGGGGTGTTTCACAAAGACTAAGATGACTTTAAGTTGGACTTAAGTATGGCAGACCATTCATGTCACTGGTTGCTTTCACTTTTGGTCTCTCAATTATGATCTTTAGATAATATTTCTTCCTTCAATAATGAATTATCAAAAAATATAAATTCTGTAGATATGTGACCATGATTTGTACGTCCCTTGAGAGACTAATGCCAGTAAATGGTTAGAGAAAATAGTGGCATGATCGGCCTGACATTGTAAAGTCCAACTTAAAGTCAATCTAAGTCTCTGTGAAACACGTACCTCCCCTGTATGGGTAAACTTATTTTGACTTGACTATGCAGTACATTCAAATGACACTGTCTGTTTGGACCCACTTGGGCCTTTTATCTCTGTGTTCAAGTACCTGTATATGAGTTTCCGCTCTTATACGTCTCAAAACACACAAAAAACATGTACCTTAGGCAAACTTTCTTTAGGTTCACAAGAGGTGGATATAACAACTAGGCCTATACATCTTGTTTTCTTGCAGTTTACAAACTGTAGCAGTAACATTTTAAAAGAAAATGGACACAGTTACAAAGAAACATGCACCTCCCCCAAAATTTAAATGGACAAATACTTTTCACAGTACCATTACATTGTACTTAATCGGGCAGCCACATTTTTGACCTCGACTCATCTGCGCTTGTATCCATAATTGTTTCTCTTTTCATTGACAGGAAATTGTACCGATTATGCCATATGCAATTTAAAAAAGACGAGTCTTCTCTAAACTGCGGTCCTTTTGTAGAATTAAAACTAAACGACCGTTTGCAGTTGATCAACTGAATGGGTGATCATCTATTCGAAAATGTTGGTATCTGTGGTACTGCTTTCGCTGCCCGGCCGGTACAAGAGCAATTTATGAAAGCCCCGGGCAGACTGTGCGCTTAGATCGTGAGTCATAATAAATCTACCTGATCAGTTATTCTTCGGGGGATAATAGATCATGGTCGAGGCATGATGAGCAATGATGAGAAATTTTAGGACATGAATTAAACTTTTTTGCAGTCCATTCAGGTCCTAGCTTCCTCATGATGGATGATTAAGACTCTTTTGAAATTAGCATGGACCATGTGCATAGATTGCTGATTATGACCTCACATTATATCTTAATCATTCTGTTTGAGAGTGTTTTAAAGAGAAATTTGGAGGAAATAGTGTAGTTTACATAAACTACACTTATTTGATTAACCTACATTTTCATGATGGTGTCCATTATGGTAATATTAAATTGAAGAAGGCTATAATTTACTGATTTGTTCTGAATAGCCTTTCAGTAGAGTAAGCGTAACCTCGCCCTCTACATAGTACATACTGATTGGATGATAAGAGCTTGGATCCGTTATTGATGTTCAAATCAGGTTCATAAACTGTGATTTTAATATCATTGAACATCAATTTGCAAATATATCGAGATGCACATTGAAATAATATGAAACCTAAAAATGTAATGATACTTTGTGTCAAGAAAATCTTCTTTGTTATACTATCTTTATTTTAAACTGGCGGTGTGTACATGGAGTTAGGATTAAAGTGCATTAATTAAATTTATTTATTTTTATTACTGACAGCTCTAGGGTAGCACATTTTCAACAAAGGTGGTTTTCCTTGAGGCCCTGTTTGGTAACAACAAAATACAACAACATTCATGAATATAAACTCATAACAGTAACAGAAAAAAACACAGGAGAAAATGAGTACATCCATGTACAGTATACAAGTTCTTGGTTATTCTCGTAATGAATGTGCAAACTGTCCAAGAAATTCAGTAACACAAAGTCTAGATGCAACCTGTTTATTCATTTTTTTTCTTTTTTCAAAGGCTATCTAGTATCTACATGTATGTCATGATGTCTGTGACAAGGCCTTTATGTTTGGATAGTAAACAGACACTTATGAACGATCCCATGCAGTCTCCTCCTTGCCATGTAGAAAAGAAAGAGGATGAGATGTTTGTTTGTAGGTACATTTTAATGTTTGGTTCATCCTGTAATGGATCATCTGGATTTGCTTCTTCAAGGCTTTCTCCTGAATGTCTATGAATGACAGACCCCCTCTCTTTAGTGATGAATGTTGCCATCTGAATATGAGTTAATTTTTTGTAATACCTGTTTAAGTACCACCTGTCCTTCGGAGTAAAATAAAATGCATATCAAATGTCTGATTGTCAGCATTTCGGTATTGTAATGATTCTGCTCAATTGGAATGGCTCCCGCAAAGAAGCACAAAAAAGCACCCCCTCATCAAAAGAAAAAAAGATCCCTGTGAGATGTGTCTGTGGGAGTGTGGAGAATCAAAGCATTATCAGAAATGATGACACATTAAACCCACAAGACTTAAAGGTAATACAAAGTTTTGGTGTAGGGTCATGAATTTGGTTCACATGAACATATTGGAAGCATATACGATTCAACAATATTTAGTGATCGTTGTCGCGGTCGAAATCGACTATAAAGTTATGAAAATTGAATAATAAACACTTTATGTTGAATAGCTCCCTCTCAAGGTCAAGATATTAATTAAACTATAAAACAATGTTTATTGAGTAAAATCGACCGATTAGCTATTCCTGTTCGAAAATTATATACCACAACTACATACTCTGAGATTTTCATGGTCGCAGCTACCATTGTACGGCCGTAAGAGCTATTTGAAATTTATGAAGATTTACCGGGAGCACCGGTAAATCTTTATATTCAATTTTTCTCGAAAGCAAAAGTGTTTTAGGTAGTAAAATTTCTGGTGTTATTAATACATTCACAGGGGCATTCAAATACATCAAAATTGTAAAGAATCACTATCCACCCATTTTTCAAAATTTGCCAAAACTTTGTAATACCTTTAATGGAGTACTCCTTTATGCTTTCATGTGTCACTCTTCAGTTATAGTCAAATCTAAGCAAAATTAAGATGTTGAGTATGGAAGAAGAGCATCAGTCATTTGAATTTCTTGGATTTCAAGGTGATTAAAGAAAAGGGGAAAACACACTTCAGAAAGTGATTTCTCATTTTATGGAATGTGTAGAAAACATAGTAAATCTCAACTTCAAAGGATTCACATGTATTGTATAGCTGGAAAAAACACATGCATCGCTTGCGTGCAGATATATAGGGCCTGGACGTCTTTCTAGTCATTCTGAACGGTGCTTTGATTATTGAAAGCCATGCGGATCGAAGAGCATATATTAACTGTGTTAAGTCTATAGTACTTGCTCTTCTGGCTACCGATTCACAATAGATGTTATTTTGTTGTCAATTCAAGTTTTACGAGACAGTAGTGATTGATTTCAAATCAGCAAACATCAGCATTTCAATGATTCTAACCAGATAAACACAGCTTTAAAATAAATAGATGGACATATTGAAGTTTACTTGAGAACAATGAATTATATGGCTTAACTGGACTGGTAAAGTGTTTCTTTGATCGAGTGGCCCAAACTTGTAGAGTGATGTGTACAGCTAGTAATTACTTCAAGGAAACCCTCTTGGATTGATTTGGATTATTAATCAGAATGTCTTAGTATTATTAGAAAAAATATTTGCTCAACAAACTATTTCTTTCTTCTTGTTCAGGATCCCGGAGGCAGAGACACAACCAAATTCAGTCTGATTATAGAACTAGACGGCAACAAAGAAACGATACGACTACCAGCTCGTAAAGACCATGATCTCAAGTAAGTACAGAAGGAATATGCTTCCTACGTTTGAATATATATTGATTGTCTGTAAAGATCCAGAAGGGCATATTGCTGTGTTTAAAGCCTCGGTCACAAATGCCATTACGAACTGCTACGAACGCATAAGCGAACGATTTTCAGACAATGGAAATTCGGGAAGACAATGGAAAAACAGAGATTTGTACGAAATTATTGTTCGTACGAACCTTTGTAACCGTAGCATTAAGTATGTGAGTTAACGCCCTTTTCTGTCTCCAAACTGAAAATATGTGTGTTCCCCTAGATGTGTTCAATCTCTTTGTATCAGTGTTTTTACCTGTACCATGCATACCTCAGTACACCATTTGACCAATATACGTCTGTTCATTTGGACACAGAAGGGTATTAACGCATATACTTTTACAGAGTATTAACGTCCTTCTGGCTCCAAACAGACATATATCACTTCTCTGTAAAGACAACAAATGTATGTGTGTGTGTGCAAGCGCGTAGCCAGGATTTCATTTTAGGGGGGGCGGTAGTGAGCACGCAAAGCGTGCGAATCACTTAAAGAGCGCGCGAAGCGCGCTCCCTAGGGGAATGGGTGCAGGGAGGGGGGAGTTTCCCCCCTCCTGCGCGAAGCGCGAAAGCTTTGAAAGAAGACGATTCGTTGTACCTTTCTCGACTCATAATCCTTGTCTGAATTCAGTCCCTCCCCTCTCTCGCGCGAAGCTTTGACGTTTCATTAAATTATTAGAGAAAGAAGACGATTCGTTGTACCTCTCTCGACTCTTAATCCTTATCTGTATTCAGTCCCTCCCCTATCTCACGCGAAGCTTTGACGTTTCATTAAATTATTAGAGAAAGAAGACGATTCGTTGTACCTTTCTCGACTCATAATCCTTGTCTGAATTCAGTCCCTCCCCTCTCTCGCGCGAAGCTTTGACGTTTCATTAAATTATTAGAGAAAGAAGACGATTCGTTGTACCTCTCTCGACTCTTAATCCTTATCTGTATTCAGTCCCTCCCCTATCTCACGCGAAGCTTTGACGTTTCATTAAATTATTAGAGAAAGAAGACGATTCGTTGTACCTTTCTCGACTCATAATCCTTGTCTGAATTCAGTCCCTCCCCTCTCTCGCGCGAAGCTTTGACGTTTCATTAAATTATTAGAGAAAGAAGACGATTCGTTGTACCTCTCTCGACTCTTAATCCTTATCTGTATTCAGTCCCTCCCCTATCTCACGCGAAGCTTTGACGTTTCATTAAATTATTAGAGAAAGAAGACGATTCGTTGTACCTTTCTCGACTCTTAATCCTTGTCTGAATTCTGTCCCCCCCCCCCTCTCGCGCGAAGCTTTGACGTTTCATTAAATTATTAGAGAAAGAAGACGATTCGTTGTACCTTTCCCGACTCATATTTCTTAATTTGAACTCAGTTTCCCCCTTCCCGCGCGAAGCGCGGAAGCTTTGACGATTCATTGTACCGTTCTCGACTCCTTTTCCATTTTTCTTCCTACGTCCTCTTTCTTTTTTTTCTTCTCTTTCTCTCTCTTTTTTTTTTTTTGGCCGGCGTTTTGGGGGGGGGCGACCGCCCCCACCGCCCCCCCCTGGCTACGCGCCTGTGTGTGTGTGTGTAAGTGGGTTTTTTACACATATGTGCCAATCAGATATGATTAAAGGTAAAGACCAGTTATGGTCATGCGATTGCATTGTGAAAGAAACGTTGTGGAATCGATCAGAAAAGGTTGATCATCTAGCATCTAGCATCTGCAAGGTTCTGGAATCATCAAAATGATAAGAAATTTGGCCCATTCTTCGTAAAGTTACAAGCACTATACACAGAAAGATGTATATGGGACTACCCTATATCTCTCACAGACCATGAGAGAAACAAATTTACCAAATATATGAATTAGTAGGCGGTTTCCCGTCAAATTTGTTATCATCATGTATTAGTCAAAACATATTCTTTCACATGATTGGTAATGAGAGCTTCCATTTCATTTTTTGAAATTGGGGTGTTTCCAATACTGGTCTTTACCTTTAATTACATCAGATGACCGACCTTTAAATTCACCATCTGAAAGACGTGACTTGGGTTCGAACCAGGGTCCACCTAAGCTAGTTTGTAGGCGAAGACAGAGAGCTGACCAAGTGAACGTACCGCTATATGAACTCACATCTTCCTGCCAATAATCAAAATTCAGAACCTTTGCATTTTTCATTTTCAATCGAGTTGGCCATGCATGTGTAATGGGTCCCAGTCAACCGATAAATCCCATCCGTCCTGATATTCAAGTCCAGCTATTACAATTATCGACTTTTATTTGAATGCCTATTTTGGATTTCACCTGGCTAGTACCCTCTGATATAACAGCGTGCAAGCTCTCTTAAAGGCCAAGTTTTTGCTTGTTTGAAGTGTTACAGTAGTGAGGGTATACAGTTTGAATTTGTTCTTCTTCGAATAACATTAAGAATTGGTCCCCATGGAATCTTCCAAATAAAGATTCAATAGGGATTACAACAGCAATAAAAAGATATGTTAACTAAGCAAAGAACTAATAAAAAGTCATGAAAATATGGGATATACCTTGCTATTTTTAACTTTATTGAAGAATCTGATGAAAGGATTGGGAGAAGGGGCTTTTAAATGTATTTAGGGCATACTTATCAAGCAATGTACCTACTCCCAATGCATCTACCCTTTAGTTCCATAAAAATCTTATAAAGAAGTAACCCCCCCCCCCCCCCCCCAAAAAAAAAAAAAATTGTATACAGGGACATGGACTCTATCTGGCTGGCATTTAAGAACCAAAACGCAGAAAGAGCTTTCAAAAGTTTGGCTCCTTATGTCATAAGACATGTACATTATTAGCATTAATGATGATTCACACAACTGTAACATTGGACAAAAATGGTATACATGCACAAGGCAGGAAAACAAAAATAGATTAGTTGAATAAACCTAGCAACATATCTACGCAAATAGAATATCAGAGGAAAACCTCTCTGAAATTAGATACTGAGAAAGGTTAGTTCAAATGCTTTTATTTAGAATGTTGTTAGGTGGACAGTAACACATGCTAGTGATAGACTTCCTCTCGTCCTAACTACCGCTCACTGTTTACCCTCCCGTTCGTTCTGGACTTAAATTGGCATCAGGTCACATGATCAAAATAATCTCATTGACTCGTTGAAGTCTGGCTCTTTCATAGAATGAAGAAAGTTGATTTATTGGAGGCAATGTGGAAGCAGGTTGTCAGTTGGAAAAATTAAGCAACTTCATGATAAGGAAAATAATGATTACGAATTTTTACAATAATAGTAATGAAAAAGATGGTTGGGATATTGGTATCTGTGATGATGATGATGAAGACGATGGTAATGATATTATGATGGTGATAATGTGATCATGATTCTGAAGGTAATGATGATGGCTTTGACTACTGAGATGATGGTGATGGTGATGATGGTGATGGTGATGGTGATGGTGATGGTGATGGTGATGGTGATGGTGATGGTGATGGTGATGGTGATGGTGATGGTGATGGTGATGATGATGATGGTGAAAATGTGATCATTATTTGAAGTTTATGATGATGGCCATGACTAGTGAGATGATGGTGATAATGGTGGTGGTGATGGTGGTGATGGTGATGGTGATGATGATGGTGATAGTCATGAATATTATGCAAATACTGTCAATATTATCTAGCTTTTCATAATTCAATTTTTCAATAGATTTCCCAAGGATTATAAATTGAAATATAATCTACTTTATAGATTAGTATTTGCATGAGACCTTTTATGTCCATAATGAGTTCAAAAAAGAAAATCAAACAGTCTAAAAACAACAAACAAACAAGCAACATTGGTTGGGAAAACAATTAGAGGCTACATGTACATGTATATACGTTGAAAAAAATACTTCCTCTTCCCCCACGTAATGTTTTTAACATATGTGGCAGCTTTGAAATGACGTTTTCATGTAATGTCGCCCATTGTTTTATTGTCTCTCACCTTGAAATTGGGTTTGTTGACATGCACGATTAGCCTTGACAATGGTTTGTGACACACAGTTTTGTAGCAAAGGTTATAAATTCTATGAATACTTATAATATGTTAATCCTTGTACAGTACCTTGTCCTCTGTTGATGGGGAATCGATGGGGGTATTCACCATCAAAAAAATAATTGGAGAGCTGCCCAGTAATTTGAAACGTTTGATGAAACTTTGCCAAAACTGGCGGAATTAAAAACAATACTGCAACAATTTCCTTGTTCAGTCCAACTTTGCGTGGTTAACAAGCCCCACACTACATATTCCTGAACATATAATACAATTGACAGGAGGATATAATTGAGTAAGTACTGCGATTTGGCACTGACGGGAGCAATTGTTTTAATTTGTGGTGCAAAGTAAGTACAATAAGTATTTTATCATAGCATATAACTGTCAAATATTATGTGATTAGTATTAGCTCATTTGTTCTGTAAATCCAAATTATGAAAATTATAAAAATGCACAACTTGAACACCTGCTCTGTGTCGTTTTAACAGTGTTCTCTAGGGTATTGAATGTGCAGTAGAGATGAGATTGAAGCTTTCATATTTTTATGTCTATTTCTGTATTTATTTTTTTAATTTTGAGATCTTAAATGGTTATGTGCATTTTTTATTTTCTTTATAGTGTCATTCATGCTATTTCTTTTATGACATTCATGTTCTATTAGTCTCATTTTTCATCCTGTTCTTCCTTCGGTTTATATATTTTTTGTCATTGATTCATTATTTTCCATAGTTGTTTCTCTCATTGTTTCTTCCTCCATGTTTCTTAAATCTCTCCATCATTTTCCTTCATGAATATTCCCTTTTCCTTGTATATCGTCTTTATCCTGTTTCTTACTTCACATTCTGAGTTTCTTCCATCCAATTATTTTATTTCTTCTTTATTTTATTTCAGAATTTTTTTTACCGCATCTCTTATCAGAAGCATGTACCCTGTCAAACATGTTTATAGCTCAGTACAACTATGTGAAAAGCAGTACTACAATCATTTATGAGCCTTTTTGATAAAGTTTATAACCATGGGAATATTCTGCATCCAATTTTTTCTCTTCATGAAAGCAAATATTGCCCCTTTTGTAAAGAGTGTACTCACAAGACGATCGCAAAGTCCACCTACGGCAATCTCAACAGCCTTGCACATCATCTATTGTGTGAATGTGAATGATGACGCATGTATCATGTTATCTTAACACAATTTCTATGGGTGAATCAATAGGGTGACGAAGTCGATCTTTAGTTGATTTCTTGAAAGTCTTCGTGATTATGTTTCACTTCAAAAGCAAGTGCATCAATTTCTTCTCCAGACTATTAAAGTGATTGCGTAACTTTGCCTCAGATTACAAAAACAAATCCTGGATTTAGCTCATGCTGCAATCATAGTTATAAACCTTTAGGTCATACATGAATCCCATGAATTTTACAAGCCAATCACATATCTAATTATCAAGATATCTATGATTGGAATTAGAAATTTCAGAATTTGTTCTCCTAACGGTTTTTATAACACTTGATTGGGAAAAATAAGTCTGGTAAAACCGGTCACTCAAAGATTTTTACTTTTTTGAGGCACTTCATGATCATTTCGAAGCGCAATTTTTTTAGGGCTTCACTATAACACCATATCACAGGCACTGATAACACGTAGGGCCGTGCATCTCAGATTTAACATTGTTAAATGATGCCTTTAACCATTTTTCTTTTCTTTCATTTTCTCACCATCAAGGGAAGTGTTAGAGGAGACGTTGGGCAAGAAGGGTCTGACGTTAGACGACATCGAGATCTACATCCAGAACACCAAGACCAATCCCCTCCCCAAGAACGACAAGGGCCTTAGGGTACCTACAGAGCCCCTGGGGGGTCTAGAAGTCTTCATCCTACGTAAGATTATAGTAGTAGAAGTAGTAAGAAGTATCAGTGGAAGGTTGTAGCAGATGTAGTACTGTAAGATTGTAGCACAAGTAGTAATGTACAGTGATTTGCAGGAAAGTAAAAGGTTTAACCAAGGTTTTAGTATATGAGGGCCTCGGGGTACCTACAGAGCCCCTAAGGGGTCTAGAAGTCTTCATCCTACGTAAGATTATAGTGGTAGAAGTAGTAATAGAAGGTTGTAGCAGATGTAGTAGTGTAAGATTGTAGAAAAAGTAGTAATATAAAGGTTTAGCAAAGGTTTTAGTATATATGAGGGCCTAAGGGTACCCATGGAACCCTAGGGGGGTATAGAAGTCTTCATCAACCGTAAGATTATAGTAGTAGATGTAGTAAGAAGTGGGAGGTTGTAGCAGATGTAGTGATGTCAAGCTCTAGGAGATGTGTATGTAGTAATGTAAGATTTTAGCACAAGTAGAACTGTAAAACAACTTGAAAACAAATTCATAATATAAAGGCCTAGCAGAGGTTTTAATATATGACTGGAGCAGACTTAGTAAGGTAGGATAGTAGCAGATGTTGTAAACATTGATTGTTGCAGATATATATATATATATATGTGATTGAAAATCAGCTCCATATCCTAATGGTTGTGGTTCTCTTTTGATTCATATAATTATGATTTTACAATTAAGTATTAGATGTCCCAAATGCGTCTTTCCTTTCCATTACATTTCACTATTAAAAGCTACCTATAATTTACATTTGTAGCAAAACTTGCAAAATTAAGTTGTAGCAGAGGTAGTATTATTAGATACAAGCAGATTGGATGCCAACAAATTTGAAAGGTCATGTAATGTCTTAAATGTTTAGGGGCTTTTTAATTTGTTTTTAAGGAAATTGTCTTTTCTGTGAAATGTTAAGGGAAATATTGTTTTTTTTTTAATGTTAAGGAAATAACTTTGTGATTCTCTTTTTGCATGATTTGCTCGCTAGCTGCCCTAGAGAAAACACCAGAGTCTGAGAACCGTACGGTGAGTGTTCAATATACATATTTGTTTTTCCTTTCGTTCTATCTTGAATTGAATCAAATCAAATTGAATTTATTTACCACTTTCATGAAAACATGCAAAGTCAAAGAATGCAATAAAAAAGATAAATTGGGTATAAAGTATCTTCCTTGGATACAATCGTCACAATGAGAGTATATTTTTCTGGATCTTCTGGAAGAAAAGAACTACTTAGTTCATAGACATTGTTCAACTCTTGGATTCTAGGGTGGGATTTGATGCACGTGACACATAAAGGATTGCAGTTGATTCAAATGATTTCAGGAAATCAGAGAAATGGGTCAATGAAAGTTTGAGAAAAATCCAACAAAATTCAAGAAATTTTGTGAATTTGAGAAATCACAATTGGCACGTGTTTGATACAATGAGGCATTTGATATCATTGTAAATCTTGGTACTTATAGGCATCGTTTAACAATGTTAAATCTGAGATGAATGCATGCCCCTACGTGGTATCTGTGTCAAAATCTTTGAGTGACCGGTTTTACCATACGGTACTCATTTCCCCCAATAGACTGTAGTGTTATGAAAACCGTTAGGAAAACGCAACATTTTATTTTGATTTCTATTCATAAATATCTTGATAATCAGACAGGTGATCGACTTGTAAAAGTCATGGGATTCCTGACTGACCTAAAGGTTTATAATTATCATTGTAGCATGAGCTAAATCCAGGATTTTGTTCAGAATCTGAGACAAAGTTACCGGATCCCTTTAATGAATTACCAAAAAAGCTGAAGAGCACAAGCTTTTTAGCATGAAAGTGATAGATGCAAGCCACAAGTGTTCCCATATACCAATGACATCTGTGGATGCAATGCCTTGACTTTCTCTCCGTTCTTGTTTTTCCAGGTGACAGCGACCAAGAGGAAGAAGGATCTCTCTGCTTTCCTGGGCGTCAAAGACGACGTAAATCCAAAGGTGGGAACCGGTCGCGATCGGCGAATGTCCGTACCCGCAATAGTTTCGGTAGGGTAAAATTTCCTTTGGCCCTTTTCTCCCCCTCGCCCCTCGCTTATGCTTCATGCCCATCCTCATCATCATCATCATCCTCCTCCTCCTCCTCCTACTGCATCGTGCTGGTCTGCATCTCGTTTGGCATGTCGGCTTGGAACGAAAAGCAAAGTTTGCCGTTTGGATGGGAATAACTTCACAACACATGCACTTTCAGTTTGTTTTTACGCCAACTTCATTTACGTTTCACCACCACTTTAAAAGATCCGTCTTTATCTTCACAATCTTTAAAAAGATGAAAAATAAAGGCTTACTCCTGTTTTGGTAGATTGCTATAAATGTCTTTGATGCATACTGGCAATATTTGTTGAATACTTTCATAGGGGGTGCTGAATTTCCACACCAATATCGGCTGTGTAGAAAAAAGGAATGACTCAAATTCGATTTTGTCTTGTCAACTACAGGTACACCTCGAAAGAGAGAAAAAAGTTTTTTTTTTTAAATGACCTATACCTGGTGAAATGTAAATGGAGTTCCAATTAAAGGATAGATCACTTGATGAAAGCCATAAGGATGTTAAGTCTAAGGTGAGAGACTAACACCCTTCATTGGCTCTCTCGGAGATGAATTTACTAGGGCGTTATTGCACCGCACTCAGTCGCATGCCAATTTTTAAATTATTTTATTCATTATTTTTATTTTGTTATTTTCTTTTTATTGTTTCTTTTTTATTTTCTTATTAATTATTTATTTTTATTTTTATTTTTATTATTTCTTATTTCTTTTTCTTTTTATTCTTTATTTCATTTTTGTAATGAGCTAAGCGTAGTGCAAAATTGCACCTTATCATTTGCAAGCAAGTAGGGAAATAGAAAGCCTTTGTTATGAAATGGAATTGAAATATGCATCAGTTTTTTCGTTTAAAAAAAGAAGACAATTTTTACCCCACATAATGACATACAAGCATCATCTCAGTAGTACGAGGAAACGAAAAACATTTGTTTTGAGATATGCCCTCATAGTTTTCATCTCATTTTGAGTATGCTGCATGAAATTACATGCTCAGCTTTCAAGAAGGGTCAAAGGTCGTATTCATCCCCCCAAAATACATACTACGATGAAAGTCCAAAAGTCAGTCATCAGGAGAGTCATACTGACATCATTTTACGTGTAGGTAGATATAAAGGAAACGTCGTCCGATGAATTGCTGCAGATAGAAAGATTTGGAGCAAACAACGACAATGCGTATTGTTTACTTACCTTTTCTTTGCAAATTTAACAATATTCGAGGTAAGTGGGTCGGTAAGTCGGTTAGGACCAAGGCATGATGTGTGCCTAATATTTGTGGGAATGTACTATAGATCGATAACACGCATGATAAATACCGTACCTCTATAGATTAACTAACGTATGAAAGAAGAAACTGATATAACTTATAGTGATACAAGTACTGTAATCTTTTTTTGAAAATTGTGACATTGATAACACGCATGAATATTACCTCTAAACATGATCAACTGTATGACAAAAGATACTGACACAAATCATACATGAAAATAGTACCACAGTATGATGTACAGTGTATGTTCAAAACACTGAACTGTTTACTTTATGGTCCAGAAGCAAATATGTTCTCCTTTGTCCGACTCCTAATAGATGTTTTGATCGTTAAAGACAAAAGAATTTAATGTATATGGTGTTTGTACATCATTTCTGTTCCACGTGAAGTACAAAAGACTTGTATGACGTTTGTAAACACTGTAAACCCTACTTTGTCGGATAAAATTGTTTTGCACTATCCTGTAACCATGATGGTTGATCGTGGTTTTTAGTAAAACCATAAATGTAAGTTTATCTGTTGTTTACCCCTGTACTCGTCTGTAGGATATGTTTCTCACATAGTTAATAAATCAAATCTTCAATTTTTACTTTAAACAAAGTTATCGAATAGCAGTACCGGCAGTCATCCAAATTAAGTGTCATTCATTTACTTTCAATGGTTGATGGGTTAAGGGGTTCCAAGGGAGAATAAACCAGAGGGGGAGAGACCTAGAGTGGAGATTTAGGGGAAGGGTAATATAGAGAGAAAAAGGGGGAGATGTAAAGGTCAAGGGCATTTTGTAGGAGAGCAAACTTTAAAATCAGATCGGGCAATTATTTGTTCGGATTTTTACAAAAACGTCACAAGATAGTGTTATTGAAAACCAATAGAAAGGTTTTGCTTTGAAATGTTAGATCATCCCTTTAGTTGTTCACACCTTCATCGCTAAGATTGCAACCTAGCAGACAAATTCAAGTACCGGTATTGAATTCATCCGTAGAATAATCTACGGCTAGACCGTCCATCATCCGTTGCTAGGCAACATGACACAACATCATTTGATCAGTGCTTTGTGTTCACGATGACACATTACTGCGTCATGACACGTCACCTTCAATCGTTTCGTTTGTCTGGTTCAATAGGACCAGCTTGCTTCAGCAAATTGCTTTTGAATTATTACCACTCTTTGTTTGTAAATTCACTTTATTATGTGTCTTTTTGCACTGTTTAGCGTCCACATTGTTGCTTTAAGTAGTTTGCATGTTATATAGGCGTAAAGATGTTTCTATGTTTTACCAACAAAGCTTAGTGTCTTTGCTTTAAAGTAGTAAATAGCCCTATGTTATTATAGATTTGCCTTTTCAAAATCTGCAGAATTTTGTTTTGTTTATTGACTTATATATTTCTTTTTATTAGCTTCAAGAACAACTCATGCTATAGCGTAAGGGCTCTGTGCAAAATCTGTTCCATTCTTAATAAAGATCTTTTTTTAAAAATACTTTTAATAATTTCATTGACTATGTCAAAAGAGATGTATTGATATATCATGCAAGGGAAAATAAGGAACAGGAATTCTACCCTATGTACGCACAATAAACAGCTCGATGAATCAAAGGTGCTACGATCTTTCACACAACCAACAAAGATTCAGCAATTTTTATGCCTCCGTTACGAAGTAGCCGGAGGCATTATGTTTTCGGGTTGTCCGTCCGTCCGTCTGTACGTACGTCTGTACGTACGTCTGTACGTACGTCTGTACGTACGTACGTACGTCCCGTTCTCGTGATCGCGTTATCTGAAGAACCGATTGATGGATTCCTGCCAAACTTTGGTCATGTATGTATCTTGCAGAGCCGATGAACTGATTAGATTTTGGGGTTACGAGGTCAAAGGTCAAAGGTCACAGGGCTCATTATGTATGCAAAAACAGCTCGTGATCACGTTATCTGAAGAACCGATTGATGGATTCCTGCCAAACTTTGGTCATGTATGTATCTTGCAGAGTCAAAGAACTGATTAGATTTTGGGGTCATGAGGTTAAAGGTCAAAGGTCACAGGGCTCATTATGTATGCAAAAACAGCTCGTGATCGCGTTATCTCAAGAACCGAGTAATGGATTGCTGCCAAACTTAGGTCATGTATGTTACTTGCAGAACCGATGAAGTGATTAGATTTTGGGGTCACGAGGTCAAAGGTCAAAGGCTACAGCGCACATTATGTATGCAAAAACAGCTCGTGATTGCGTTTTCTCAAGAACCGATTGATGGATTGCTGCTAAACTTAGGTCATGTATGTTACTTGCAGAGCAGATGAACTAATTAGATTTTGGGGTCACGAGGTCAAAGGTCAAAGGCCACAACGCACAATATGTATGCAAAAACAGCTCGTGATCGCGTTCTCAAGAACCGATTGATGGATTCCTGCCAAAATTAGGTCATGTATGTTACTTGCAGAGCCAATGAACTGAATAGATTTTTGGTTCATAAGATCAAAGGTCAAAGGTCATGGGCTCATTATGTATGCAAAAATAGCTTGTGAACACATTCTCATTAGAACTGACAGATGGATTACTATTTAACTCAGGACATCTTGCAGAGCCAATGAACTGAGTAGATTTTAGGGTCATGAGGTCAAAGATCAAAGGGTCATATATGTATATGAGAAATTGCTTGTAATCACGATATTCTGAGAACCTGTTAATGGATTACAATTGAACTTGAATTCGAAAAATGTCTTCTGTTTTGGTTTGTAAAATTGCTCTATGACGGAGGCATCATTTTCGACTGCGCGCAGTCGAATTCCATCTAGTTAAAATATTGTTCTTACCAACATGTAGACAATCATATAAAAATAAAATGTGATTAGAGAGCTATCTTTGATTTTCGAAGAAATCAATGAAAAAAGAATATTTACTGTAACTATCTGCTTACCGTCAAAACTAGAAATAGTAACGATATTAGCTCACTCAACTTCTTTTTTGTGCACAGCACCCCCTTTGCACCCCTTCTATGTCCAATGCATGTCACAATCGTGAGCTAAATGTTCCCCTTTTTGTGTCTGTTCCATATGGATTTTTGTCAGTAATTTCAACTTGTTTGAACTGTTATTTGAAATGACTTATGTGATGATAAAAACAAAACATGTCAGATGTTACTATGTTGTTTTTCTCTTGTTTAAATATCACCCTTCAGTGTGGAATGGAATAGCCTTCATTCCCAGTTAATTGTTCTGAGATTGTCTTGATCCATTTTGTCAGTAGGGATGTTCTGTAACGTTCCTTACCCCTTACTAGAGATCCCAGAGATTTGTTCTCACCCCAGGTAAAAATGGGTGATTCTTTATTCCTCTTGTTACCTGTAGTGAGCTTGTCTTGTTCCATTATGTTTATAGGGATGTTTTTTGTCATATATCTCATGTTGTCTTCCCCTCAATCGATAAGCAATGACACAAGTCACACACAGTACAGTATTTTGATTTAAAAAAAAAAAAATTAAATAATTTTTTTAATGGTTTATTAAAACAACTGAAAATAGCAGGCTGAGAGCTGAATTACCTTCAGTTTACAATAAAAGCATGTGAGCCACATAGCAATATTAAAACAATTATTACATGAAGCTTACAAGAATACATACAAAATACATATACACCATTACTTCAGATGAGTTAGATTCATGACTATGAATAATGTAGATGTATGTAGGAAGGGATACACGTAAAGAATATTCTTGAACACTACTAAGAATTGTTCACATACATTGATTTAAGGCCCGGTCACACAGCCCTCCACGGGCGTATCGCGGCCGAATCACGGCCACAAATTTCTGCCCGTGAAGCAGACGCTGTTGGACGCTTTGAGGTCGCGATAAAGACGCGATACAGCCGTACTTTACCCGTCGTTACACGCGGTAAAAAATTCACACGCGGTTGGCCGCGCGAAAAAGTTTTGGGCTGCCCAAAAATTTAGACCGCGGGTAATCGCGGGCGGTACACGTGGTACACGTGGTACACACGCGGTAAAGACGCGGTACAGACGCGGTACAGACGTGGAACGAACGTGCTAGGACGTGCTACGGCCGCGGTTAAGACGTGGTTACACGCGGAATTGGACGCGAAATTTTAGCGGGTAATCGCGGGTGGAGCACGGTCATAGCACGTTTGTTCCGCGTCTGTACCGCGTTGTTATCACGTGCATTAGCGTGTGTACCGCGTGTAAGCGTGGTAGGCCGCGGTACCGCCGCGCTTCACCCGCGATAAGGACGCGGAACAGTCGCCGGCGTCTGTTCCGCGGGCATACCACGGGTAAACAGCGGGTAAGCCAATTTTGCACATTTTCCACCACGGGCAACCGCGGGCAAAAAAAAAATCGCGAAATTTTACCCGCGATACAGACGCGAAAGGCTGTGTGACCGGGCCTTTATTTGATTTTGTATTATATATTTAAGAATGATTCTGAAGATAATTCTGAAAATCCAAGAGTGTAGGATGCGATAGAAAATCCTGCTGCGTTTGACAGGATGTTATGGCACGGTTCAATGGTAATGTCTTTCTACTGGGGACCCACCAAAATAAAAAAGAAATGAAACAGAATTAATCCTTTTTCTTATACTGTACATGTATTACAATTTGTCATATGGGGAAGTATTTTGTTGCTCTGCCTGCTAAACATAGAAATAGAATTATAAACAATTACAGTAATCATTATAATAATAATTATATAATAATACAATGTTTTTATAGCACATATCTCTGCTGTAGCATCTTGATCTATACACTTGAAAAATGACATGAGTATTGTTTTCTTTAAAATATATCCAAAGTGGATGAAGTTTTGTTTATGCGGGGAAACGTGAGATCAGGGAATAGGTCAGATGAAAATAGCGGAAGAAGGAAATGTTATTGAAAGATCCGTCCGACCACAATTAGGACTATACATACCCAAGGGATTGAATGTAGTTCTTGTGTGAATGTGATAATGTTTTTAGCTCAGTGCTAGCAATTTTTAGGTACATTTAGCTCAATCAATGAAAAAATATATTGAAGTGTCTTATACCCTTTTCACATCTACCAAATATTGCTTAACCCCGGGAAATAGGTGGGGCTAAGGGGGCTCTTAGCCCCACCAATTCCTTCCTTAGCCCCACCAATTACCCGGGGTAATTTTAGCCGGCTTTCTGTTCACATTACGTTTTGCCAAAGTGGGCTAACCCCACAAATAGTACGGGACTATCTGGCCCTGCAAAATAGCAGGGTTAGCCGGGCAATTGCGGGGTTAGCCGGGCAATTGTGGTGCTAAGCTGCGTAGTGTGAATCCGAACCGGGCTAAGGAGAAGCGGGGCTAAGCAACAGCCAATCACAGACAGCGTGGTCGTGTGGTCGTGAATTTGCATTTATCGCGCGCTATGCATGCAGTTCACGTTACGCATGCATGCAGTTCACGTTACGCATGCATGCTCTCTGTATTGACGTTTAGTCTTTTACGAGGCAGAGGTCATTATGAAAAAATCTTTATTATAAAATTGATTTAAAAAAGTAGTGAAAGAACATGTAGCTCATAATTTTTTATTGCATTTATCATTATCAGTCATATTTACGTAGGTAAATTTATCAAGTGAATTGGATGAAAAATGGGTAATTGATTTGTATCGGTAAAATAATAAAGGGAAAACGCTTTGCGCGGTAGCAAAAGCATTAATATTCATGAGCTATCGAATAGTCCGGGGCTAAGGCGAACGTAGTGTGAATCGCGTGAAATTTCTTAACCCCGGCTAAGCACATAGTCCGGGGTTAAGAAAATAGATGTGAACAGCAAAAAAAATAGTATGGGGTTAAGGATAGTATGGGGTTAAGGATAGTCCGGGGTTAAGAAAAATAGATGTGAAAAGGGTATAAGAGGACTTCAATTTTTAGGGTTTGAACAAGAACAATGTAAGATACTCCAGCATATATTACAAATTGGATTTTTGTTAAAAAACAATTTTTATGCCTCCGCCACCGAAGGTGGTGCCGGAGGCATCATGTTTTCGGGTTGTCCGTCCGTACGTCCGTCCGTACGTCCGTCCGTCCGTACGTCCGTCCGTCCGTCCCGTTTGACCGTTATCACAATATCTCAAGAACCATTTAAGATTTAAACTTAAGACTCGGGAATAGTATTTATCACCATAGGAAGACGATCTGATTAGATTTTGGAGTACGTAGGTCAAAGGTCACAGGTCACAGAGGTCAACTTATGAAATTCCTTGTATTGAGTTTGTTAGCGCGATATCTCAAGAACCATTTGAGATTTAAACTTCAAACTTAAGGATAGTATGTATCACCATAGGAAGACGATCTGATTAGATTTTGGAGCATGTATGTCAAAGGTCAAGGGTCACAGAGGTCAACTCATGAAATTCCATACATTGAGATTGTTATCATGATATCTCAAGAACCACTGGAGATTTAAACTTCAAACTTAGTGATAGTGTGTATCACTATAGGAAAACAATCTGATTAGATTTTGGAGCACGTATGTCAAAGGTCAAGGGTCACAGAGGTCAACTTATGAAATTCCATACATTGAGATTGTTATCATGATATCTCAAGAACCACTGGAGATTTAAACTTCAAACTTAGTGATAGTGTGTATCACCATAGGAAGACGATCTGATTAGATTTTGGAGCACGTAGGTCAAAGGTCAAAGGCCACAGCGCACATTATGAATGCAAGAACAGCTTGTGATCGCGTTATCTCAAGAACCGATTGATGGATTCATGCCAAAATTAGGTCATGTTTGTTACTTGCAGAGCCAATGAACTGAGTAGATTCTTGGTTCATAAGGTCAAAGGTCAAAGGTCATGGGCCCATTATGTATGCAAAAATAGCTTGTGAACGCATTCTCATTAGAACTGACAGATGGATTACTATTTAACTCAGAACATCTTGCAGAGCCAATGAACTGAGTAGATTTTATGGTCATGAGGTCAAAGATCAAAGGGTCATATATGTATATGAGAAATTGCTTGTAATCACAATATTCTGAGAACCTGTCAATGGATTACCATTGAACGTGAATTCAATTTTTTTTTTCTGTTTTGGTTTGTAAAATTGCTCTTTAACGGAGGCATCATTTTCGACTGCGCGCAGTCGAATTCCATCTAGTTTTTCATTCATTTCTTTTTTTCCTTTTTAAGATATCATTAAAAATTTGTCCATGTACTGGTAGTGATCTTATATTTGCACTATTTTCTCCAAGTTTTGGTTCATCACAATCTTTTCTTGGGATTAGGGTTGTGATTAGGTATTAGGCTATGTTAGGGTCAGGGTTAGGTAAAGTGTAAAGTCCAAAATTCAAGTAGAGAATAGGACGAAAGTGTTTGAAATAAGCCTAGAACAATCGCTGCCAGAATTATATGTCATGAAGTTGTAGGCTACTGTTCATGGATCATAGAGGTTATGGCACACACACTACAATTCATTGGACACGGGATAAGGTATATATCATGTGCATGGGATAAGACATATATCATGTGCATGGGGTACAACATTCAATTCAATTCAATTCTTTTTATTCATCCAAATTCACAAGAATACATGGAAATTTGTTTTGGTCACACATTGTACAAATACGTTTTATATATATATATATATATATATATATATATATATATATGAGAAACTATATCGTTGTGTTTATAATCGTAGAAGAACCATCAAAATAAAAGATAGACAAGATAGAAATATTCTTATATTCTAGTATTACACATTGAAAATGATGAAAAGGATAGAACATCAGTGTGAAGGAAGGAAGGAAGGAAAACCATGCCAAGCCGATACTTGGGCCCTCACTCCACACATCCTCACTCCATTTGATTGTACAGACGAACAGAGTATGGAACATATGAGCCTAAATATCGGCCTGTCCGACGTTTTAATGAGCGCATTCTCCATATATATATATATATATATATATCATGTGCATTTTCTTGTCCTTGTGTGCTCACCTTCTGAGACTAACTTTGTTTTTATTTGTTTTTCTCCCTAATTTTGAAATAATTTTGACGTATCTAGGCACAGATGGATCCCAAACTGATCAAGCTCCAGAATGAGCTGGACCACTACCTGGTCCAGGGCCTACCAGGCTTCCCTCCTCTACTATCACTTCAGTACCAGAGAAATGAGAATGAAGATCCGCAAATATTGTTTATGGTATGTTCTGTTCTCATTCCGTTATCTTCTTACTCTTCTTCTTTTTCTTCTTTTTTTTTCTTCCTCATCCAGCTGTTCCTTCTCTTCTCATTTCCTATTCCGCCTCCTATTCCATGGAGCTTTGTACTTGTGTCATCTTTTTCTTCCTCCTCCTCACTCTCACATTCCCCCATCTTCTCTTGCCCTCTTCTTATTTCCGTTTCCTGCCCTCCATCTTCTGCTGCCCACATTTTCTTCTTCCTCCTCCTCCTCCTCCTTCTTTGTCCTCCTCGTCCTTCTTCTCCTTCTTGTTCTTCTACTTCTTCTTCTTCTCCATCTTCCTTTTCTTCTTCTCCATCTTGTTCTTGTTCTTGATCTTGTTCTTGTTCTTGTTCTGTTTCTTGATCTTGATCTTGTTCTTGTTCTTGTTCTTGATCTTGTTCTTGTTCTTGTTCTTGTTCTTGTTCTTGATCTTGATCTTGTTCTTGTTCTTGTTCTTGTTCTTGATCTTGTTCTTGTTCTTGTTCTTGTTCTTGTTCTTGATCTTGTTCTTGTTCTTGATCTTGATCTTGTTCTTGTTCTTGTTCTTGATCTTGATCTTATTCTTGATCTTGTTCTTGTTCTTGTTCTTGTTCTTGATCTTGTTCTTGTTCTTGATCTTGATCTTGTTCTTGTTCTTGTTCTTGATCTTGATCTTATTCTTGATCTTGTTCTTGTTCTTGTTCTTCTTGTTTATGTTCTTCTTCTTCTTCTTCTTTTTCTTTTAGTGCATGGAAATTTTGCACAATACAAATAATTTCATTCAATATAATGTGTACTTGCCAAGTAATATTTCAATTTTGTTCTCCAAAATCCAACAAATTTAGCACCACATATTTATATGTGTTAATTGCTAAATGATGAGAAAAAAACTAGCATTTTATATGTCTAGGCAACATACATTGTCTCCCTTTGACATTGTCCTAAGCATATTCATGTTGGCAATTTTCAGGGTATTCAGTTTTTCAGCACATTTTGGCTTCTGTGTTTACAATTTTGGTGGCCTTAAATAAAATTACCACAACATGTAATTAATACATGCTTACACGTAGTACCGGTAATTACATTGAGATTTTGATTACATTTTTCTTGACATAAAGCTTCATTGCAAGTACTGAAAATTGTCTTAAATGTTGTGCTTGTCTCTTGTTTACAGGAAAGTTCCTGGAAAGACCTGATTGATATCGACATTAGGAATACCATGAGCAAGAGAGCTAAAGAGCTTCAAGAGGGTATCTGGGAACTCCTTGCCACTGAGGCCAAATACATCAAACAGATCAGGGTTATCATAGATGTAAGTTGTTGCTAAGGTGATGATGATGATGGTGGTGATGGTGGTGATGGTGGTGATGGTGATGATGATGATGATGATGGTGGTGATGGTGATGATGATGATGATGATGATGATGATGATGATGGTGGTGATGATGATAGTGATGATGGTGGTGGTGATGGTGATGGTGATGATGATGGTGATGGTGATGGTGATGGTGATGATGATGATGATGATGATGATGATGGTGATGGTGATGGTGATGGTGACAGTGGTGTACTTGTGATGATTAGGATGATGATGAGGATGAGGATGATGATGATGAAGAAGATGAAGATGGTGATGCTAGTGGTGGTGTTGATGATGATGGTGATGATAATGATTATTATGATAATAGTGGTGTGGATGGCGATAGTGGGGATTGTGCTGGTTATGATGATAGTAGTGGTGTTTAGGATGAATAAGATGATGACAATGATACCGATATCAAAAGTATAATTTTTGAACAGTCTCAGAAATTGTAACACTTTTAATATGAACAATAGTATCTAGGTAGTTTGCTAGTAGGAACTCTTAGGGAGCAGGGGAAGAAGAATTTTATAATGACAGATGTGTTTAGGAGTTTATTACTCCAACAAGGAAGTTATACTGTACAAGTTATACTAAGCCCTAGAAAAGGGTAAATACAACAGATGATATCCATTTACGATCCTGTAACCATAGCAACCATGGTGATGTTGGATTTGTTATAATCCTTGTGGTGAAAAATTGACAAGTTAACGTACATGTAGGATTATGTATGATGTATAGTAGGTTTAATAATAATAATAATAAAATGTTACTTATAAAGCGCTTACCACCAAAGTCTCGAAGCGTTTAATGCTTCCAAGATAATAATGATTTACTTGTTTGTGAGGATTGTACTGCTGGTAATACTGACGGTGAGGATGAGAATGATGATGATGGTTTTGAAGATGATGATGTTGCTTATGGTGAGGATGAGATTGAATACAATGATGGTTGTTATGATGATGATGATGTTATAGTTGGTATAGTTAGTCAAAATGAAGTGGTGTAGTGGATATATCACCAGACTGTAGATTAGATGGTTTGAGGTTCAAGTCCCAGCAGTGGCACAAAGTTTCCTCTAGCAAGACTTACAGCTACATTTGCCACCCTCAACCCTGGTGTAGTAAATGAATACTTGGCATGAACTAATCCTTTGAATGTTTTCATCACTTAAGGAAAGACCAGGGGAACAGTAAAACCATGTGTCAAATCCTCTGGTGGATATGTTCAAATATTAAGGTATTATAATAATTAATGTTTTAAACATTATTATATATTGATAATTTTTGTTTTGTTTTCTTTGCAGTTGTACATGTGCTGTCTCCTAAATCTCCAAACAGCGGCAATATTAAATGAGGTAGGTTATGAATGTTTTCATTGAAATATTTATTTTTGTAATCCTTAACTTCAGACTCATAGAACAAACAAGCATGCATTACCTCAAGTTATGTTGATTCCCTGAATTAGACAAGATTCATTAGAGGAAAGATGATGTGTTTAAATTGATTGTTTATCCATGTGAAGCAATAACAAAAACGAACTTGTAGTATCTCTTATGACTCTTGTTTAATTCAGGAAATCAAAACTTAAAGTGTTGCGGGCTTGTTTGTTCTTTGAGTCTTGGGTTGAAATATATCCATTGAGTGGATGTATATTATTATTATTCTTACTTATACAGCACTTTTCCCATAAGGCCCAAAGCGATTACGGTATATAGGAAAAACAATCTTACAACTACAAACTGCAAAAAAGATGTGTTTTCAAGGCCTTTATGGAGGTAATAACTGATGAAGACTGTCTAATTTTAAGTGGTAGATCATTCCAGTATTTTGAAGCTGATACAGTTAATGTCCTATCACCGGCTCTAATCGTGTATATTTAACCAATAAAGGCCCCGGGCCAATGTCTGGTGACTATATAACGTCAATCACTTCATAACTGTGAATTTTCTGTCCTCCCTCCAGATCGAGACAGAGAAAATCTTCAGCAATATCACAGTGCTAGAGCTGGCTCACACAAAATTCTGGAAAGAGAATCTCCTGAAGATCGTGGAGAAAGCCAGGGACAGCGGTAAACCTATGGATCCTCATGATATCGCTACAGCTTTTGAGGATGTAAGAAATAGTTCTCTGTTTTCCGCATGATATATCTGTTTTCTGTATTTTCAGTTCAGTTCTATTAAATTGAATTTAGTTCGAGTAAATTGAATTCACTTCAATTTGATTCCTTTTCACATAATGATATTTTTAATTTTTATTAAATGTTTAAAGTATAATATTAAATCGACAACAAATTGACAAATTCACATTAATTTTCCAAATTAATGAGTAATTTCTTCACTTTTTCAATTTATATCTCTTCATTTTCATTTCTGATAGCTCATTTTTAAATTTTATTATAGTGTACTAATAAATGAAGAATATTAGTGTTGCCAATTTGAATAATAAAAATATTCATTTAGCCCTATTTGAAATTTTAAAAAAATAACAGTACAAGAATTCAAAGCAATTTATACTTTTCCTTCATTTTCCTTGATATGTCTTACCTTTTATTGTTTGTTAAAAAGTGGGAGCTTTACTCTTTTCTCTCTCAAAATATCAATGGGTTAAATCTCTACTTGTTAATGTTTGGATCTCTTTTTTTTGCAGTTCTCCGATCAGTTTTCGGCGTATTTCAAGTTCTGCGCCGAGGAAGATAGCTGTATTCACTATGTCAGGGAGAAGAGACAAGAGAACAATATACTCAGGGCCTTCTTTGAGGTATGAAACAAATGTTAATATTAAACCAGTCATGAGAATGTGCTATTGGTTTCACATACGTGTGTTTGTTGTAAAAGAGAAGGTTGAGTTCTAGGGAGAGGTGAATATAATTTGTGAGCATTTTCATTGTTATTATGCAAGTGTGGAAGAACATCTCAGAAAAAATTGAGTATGGTGTTATAGTGAACGGAGTTAGACTGATGATTTGCATAATAGCATTAAGTGACAGTTTTTAGAAATTATTTTATTTTAAATGAATAGTGGGCACCAACTATTTCATGGCAAACACTTTTGCAAATCTCAACGTCTGGTGAAATTTGTGAGGGTTACATACTCACAAAAGTTTCTAGCTTTTTAGTATAAAAGGTAATATAACTATAATTAATGCGCCTCGGAATAGAATTTCTAGATAGACGGCGCTATAGAAATGCCTATAATTATTATTATTATTATTAAAGACTTATTTTTTTTCACACTATTTTTTACTTAGTGGTGTGAGGGGCATAACATCACCAGGCAGATGAGGCTACGAGGCCTAGGGGATCTCCTGATCTACCCCATGCAGAGGGTCACCAAGTATCACCTGATGGTAGATCGGGTCCAGAAGAACTGCGAAGACGAAGTGCCGAAGGCGGCCCTCAAGAAGACGGTGAGTTTTTTGGTGGTAGCGGTGGGATATGTAAAAACAATAGTATAGATATATCAACTGCTTTGAGAGGCCTGGCTGTTATATAGGCTCAAGGGGATGTACACGTCCCCGAGAGCCAACAGCCAGGCCTTGAATATTAAAGCAGCCGATATGTCTTTATATACCAAATTGACACAAAAATCTACCAAGAATTCTTACCATATCCTTTTATTGAGTAAAGATTGGTTAAACTAGCTTTAAGTAGTAATTCTTTGGGTCTCTGAGCATCTCTTGATGATAGGCAAGGTCTTGATGAGTCGGCTAAGACTGCCCTCAAGAAAAGGCTGAGTTAACAAAGTTTAAGGAGTGGGATGTAAAGTTAAAGAAAAAATATTAAGGTTAAAATGAAGGAGTGCCTTGTAACCAAGTACAATGTAGTAGTTGATGGGGGTCCAACAGAAGCATCGGTTTACCACATCATATCTGAGCAAGCCTTATCGGTGGAAATTTCATGTCATGGAACTATGTAGTGGGAGATAACAATCTTCCCAATTGTTATTTTGGTTTTCAGTTTGAGCACATTGTGGAGTTTGTTACCCACATCAACCATGAGATCAAGAAAGAACAGGAAAGGAAGAAGATGGAGAAGGTAGCTGGAATACTGGAAGGCTACGAGGTTCCCAACGCACCAACAGGATGCGATGAGCTAAGCAGGGTGAGTGCATGGGATACCTTTTCCCTTTTCAACCCATATTTTTTTCCACTTAAAGAGAAGGTTGAGTTCTGGGAAGAGGTGAAAAATAATTTGTGAGCTTTATCATTGTATTATGCAAGTGTGGAAGAGCATCAGATAAAAAGTGTTCACTGAAATGCATGGCTCTTCAAATGCCTTGATATTCTAAATATGGCATGTAACATCCTAAAAATCGGGGTTGGATATATAAATTGTCATGTTATGAAGTTTGAGGTGCCTGTATTTCAAAGAAATCAACAAATATGTATTTTGAAGAAATCAAGAAATATTTGTGGATCTGTTTTCCTATCTTGCATGAGACTGTGGAATTCTCTTCCACAGGAGTGTACACGTGTGGCATGCCTGATGATTCCAAATAACTAAGAAATTGTGAATTTTGAGTTGCTGTTCCAATTTCGGAAGAGTGTGCATTGGAAACAAATGTCAACTTATTTCGTACTTCTTTCGAAAATTGGGGATTTTTCAAATCGGTACAACTCCATCACGATGCAGAAGACTAATCCAGGTGGTTTTCGTTTTTGTTTTTTTTATAAATTTTACACATTTAATAATTCAATAATTCTTGTATCTATGGCCTACATTAGAAGATGATCAACTGCCTAAATAGTTCTGGGCAAAGATGTAAATGCAGACTGAAAAATAGACACACAGAGTAAGAGATGAATAGAGAATGAGATAGAGTGGGGAGAGGAGAGTAGAAAGGGGAAGAGAAAGGGGAAGAGAGGGGGAGAGAAGGGGGGGGGTAGAGGGTGAGAGTAGGGAGGAGATAGAGGGGAAAGAGAGAGGGGGAAGAAGTGCATGTCAGAGAGACTAAGAGATAGGAGGTCCGAGGTTGTGATGTTGATGATGTATGTTCTTCCTTTTCTTCTTCCATATTCTTCCTGCACCCTCCAGTTAATGGAAGCTCATTCGGTGTTTGATGTGAGCAGTCCTATGCCCTATGCCAGTCAGATCCACCCAAGATGGCTACTCTTAGAAGGTGCTCTCAAACTTCAAGAAAAGACGGGCAGAGTAAGAACCTTCTCTTTTTATTTTTTTTTAATTTCCTGTATGGTTCATATTTTATCAAGGTGTTTGTAGCTTCATGTATCATGTAGATTACGGCATTTGATTTTGCAAAAAAGGGTCTTTCCAGTTAAAAATTCTGTATTTTAAATAGTCTGTAAATGTTTGCCAAGTACTTTTGGTAATATTGTATTTTGGAAGAAACTACATTAATCTGTTCTTCTGTATGGATGATTGTTTAGTACATGGGAATAGTGTGGTAAAGGAACTTTACACTGTGAAACTAAAAACTTATATGTGCATGAAAGTTTGGAAAGTTTCCAGGTGGTGCAGATTTGTTAATATTTAATGATGAGAAACAAATGAAATACAATATCAACTTTTTTGCCATTGAAAAAAGGTTTCATATTACAAAGATGGCTACTGTTGGATATTTGGTTGTACAGTAATTGATCCTAAGGGCTATCATTAAAAAAATTAAAGGTACAGGGCATAGACATTATTATGTGTCAAGATAGACAGGCTTATATTGATAACATGAAAGTGATCTATGCAAATACCAAAATGACTGTTGAGTTTAACATATACGTGGAAGCCTCATGGTGTAATGGCGCTGACTCTCGTCTCTCAATCATAAGGGTGTGAGTTCGAATCCCACTCCAGGATGTTAATTTCCTTCAGCAAGAAATTCATTCACATTGTGCTGCACCCCACCCTGGTGAAGTAAATGGGGACCTGGTAGGAACTTATTCCTTGAAACGCAGAGCGCGTGATAGCTGCTCTGCTAAAGCCAGGGTAATTATGCCGCATTATTGTAGAGGGCTTAGAGACTTCTGATAAAGTAAGTGTGAGGCGGTATATAAGCACATACAACTATTAATATTAACTTTTGTTCTCCTGATCTTACCTTGTCCTTTCCTCTCTCAGTCGACGCTTTATGCATTCCTCTTCACCGATGCCTTGGTCCTTGCAAAGCAAAATAGGACGGGAGAGAAATACCGGGTCGTGAGGTCACCGATGAGGGTAGACCAGCTAGAGGTCATTGAACTCAAAGATGGAAGTAAGTTTGGTACCTGCATACAAATGTCTTTCCAGTCAACCTGGGGCCCGTTTCACAAAGCCTTTTTTCAATGACAGATGACAAAAATCAGTGACAAATCTGCTGATAACCAATCAGAAGCAAGGATTTCAGTAGCTTATAACAAAAACTGTCATTTGTCACTGATGTCAAGTTCTGTGAAACGCCCCCCTGGGAGCATCGTAGTGTAGTGGTTTGTTCATCCATCTTTCAGTCAGAAGTCTCGGTCCCATCCCCTGCCCCCATCCCCTCACTACCAGCATACATTTAGGGCTTGAATTAGCCTATATATAACCTTTTATTACATTTTACATGCCCACACACCTACCTTGCCAATATCTGTCTTAGTGGATTTCTTAAAGGGATCGTTTAACAATGTTAAATCTGAGATACACGGTACTACATGTTACCAGTGTCTGTGATATGGTGTAATATTGAAGCCCTAAACAAATCGCGCTTCAAAATGATCAAGAAGTGCCTCAAAAAAGTAAAAAATCTTTGAGTGACCGGTTTTACCATACTAGTTTTCCCCAATAGACTGTAGTGTTATGAAAACCGTTTGGCCAACGGTTTTCAAAATTTGTTATTCCAATCATTAATATCTTGATAATCAGACAGGCGATCGGCTTGTAAAAGTCATGGAGTTCCTAAAGGTTTATAATTATCATTGCAGCAGGAGCTAAATCAAGGATTATTTCTAAAGGATCTAAGATGAAGTTACCGGATCCCTTTAAGTTGTCATCATCACTCTGCAGTGGAAGAAATATATATTATTTTCTATTATTATGATTATTAAAGCAAGAGATTGCTGTAATTGTGTTTTCTTTCTCAGCTGGCTTTGCTGTCTTGTGTGTGGATGACTACGATTGTGCAATGACAGGGTTCGTGGCATGGCCAGAGAAAGAAAAAATGGTCGCTGTTTGGATGGAAAAGATCAGCCAGGCAAAGGTAAACATCTATTCTCATTTTCTCTTCTTGGGGGGGGGGGGGGGGGGTCCTTCTCTCCCTGTCTCTCTGTTTATCTGTCTGTCTCTCTTCCTGTCTCCACTCCTCTATCTTTACTTCCCCTTTCCTATTTGAACTTTTTCCCCCCTCTCTCTCTCTCAACTTACGCTTTAAATGCAATAGAAAAAGAAAAGAAAGATTTTATTTCATCATTCCTTTCCTTTATATCCATACATGATATCAAATTTATGAAATTCCCATGATGTTACAACCAGAAAATCAGCAGCAGCTCTATATTTCTTACATTTCAATTTGTATTTCAACCCAGAATTGTAGTATGTGCCATTTTTAATTTGTTGTTGTTGATGTTTCAGGACCTGTACAACAAATGCTGCAGTATCGATGACGATGTCGAGTACTTTGATGAGATGCAGCCCGATGACCCTCAGACGCCCATTGCGGCATTGATGGAGGACCATCATCTTCACCCTCAGCAGGGCTTCAGCTACGGTAGTTCACCGACAGCCAGCCCACATCAATCTCCACAGATGGAACGCTCCAACCGCTGGAGCTCCAACAGTCCTTCCAGTCACGGCTCCAGCAGTAGCCTGCAGAGAATGACAGAAGAGGAGGAGTATGCCGTCCAGAACGGCGACAAGAAACTTGTCATGAACGGCACCGGGGTCCAGGAGAACAATAGCAATAACCAGAGTACCGGGGAACCGAATTCGGGTCCCCCTAAAACCATGCCCAAGCCGTACCCCAAACTGAACCTCAGAGCCCCTCTCACCAAGAACACTTCCTACCAGGAGACAGACTTTCCAAGCGATAGCTCGCTCCTGGGCAGCATCCTGCCCGAGATAGCCACGGAAGAAAACAAATCTGGGTTGAAAGCGGCGATGCGGCGTCTCTCGACGGGGTCCCCGCCAGAGGAGGTGGTCCCCAAGTCACCCATGATGTCGCCTACCCGAGAGACACAGCAGCGCATCATGTCGTTTGAGAGCGACGACGATGACGATGAAGGAGAAATACCGTCGGTGACGACGGACATCTACTATCAGCCCCCTAAGAACAAAAAGGAGAAGTCGCCCCAGCGGCAAAAGGGAACTGTTCTATCGGCGACGCCCGCCAAAAGCAAGCACCACAGACCCAGTATGCCTAACATCCACGTCCTGGAGAAGAAGGAGCATAGCAAGACAAATGGAGAGGGCACACTGAAAAAGAAAAAGATTTGGGAAAAGATGCAGAGTAAAATCAAAGTAACTTCTGTTTGATTTATAAATCTTGTCTTACTCTAATTTGAATACTTCTTTAAAGCCCCACTGTCCTACTTGTAGCTACTTGCGCCCTCTATACAGCCAACAATGCCTAAGTGGTACCCGTTGATCCCCCATGATGCCCTTTTTCTTATGTTAATTGAGAGTTGATTTGATGAGATAACCACCTGCCAGTGACCTTGCAGGGAGGTCTAATCCCTCCATTCCAAACTAGTGCAGAGGGGCTTTAATACCTGTATGAAGAACTTTTCTCTTGAGGTACTTCTTCTAGATCTCAAAGAAATAAATCTGCCTTTCTCATTATTTGATTTATAAATCTTGTCTTACTCTAATTTGATTACTTGTTTAATACCTGTATGAAGAACTTTTCTCTTGAAGTACTTCTTCTAGATCTCAAAGAAATAAATCTGCCTTTCTCGTTATTGGATTTGGATTTAACTGAGAGGGAAATGAATTTACATCAACTCAAGTACATTTGATTATCATGTGTCGAGGATGTTTAATCTTCATTTGACTATATAATCATTAATTATTTGTCAAACCTAAGACAAATTGGCTCATTTCTTTTTGTCTTCTCCCTTAACAAATGTTTGGTTGTGGGACCCATAGAACTGTTGGAAATGCCTAATTGCAAAACTTTAAAAATAGGTACAGAAGCAAATGCAATGACAATGCTAGCACTGCCCCTGTTTGAAAAACCAGCTCATGCATTTAAACTTTAGTTAATATGTTCCAAAATAGATTCAGTGCTTGTTGAAGCTAAGGTCGTAATTGCAATTGTGTCATATGATTGAATGAACCGGGCATTCCAAGTGCACCCGATGTTATTACTGCTTGGTGTCTAGCACTTTTGAGCTCATTTAAAGGCAGAATTGCAATAAGGTCCTACAAGATCTACATTGTTAATTCATGAAGGCACACATCTGCCACTTTCTCAATGAATTCTGTGAAATTTTACAGGGTATTGTTGCTTTAAGTTTATCATGATCTTATTATTGATAAACTATCACAGCGCCTCTTTACCATAAGCACAAACTATTTTCTATTATTTTTACAATCACTATCATTCCATGTATGACATGCAAATTGAGTTTTAAAAACTCTTTTATATACTGGATGTTTAGGCCGATGTTAGCTCAAGTCCCTTTCAAAGGACACATAGATGTAGACAAGCAAATTCTTAATTAAAAATAGCATCCCATAGAAAAAAAAAGATGTAGGGGAAGTATGTTGGTTCCTGTATAACCCAAATGTCAGTTTTGCTGATTTTAAAAAAAAAAAAAAATCCAAATATATGCTCTCTATGTTGTTCATGACGAAACTGACCTAAATCTTTGCCACATTTTAATCTCAAATGGAAAGTGGTTTTTGCCACATATTTACCTCAAATAGAAAATACAGTCAAAATTGCTTTGGTGACCACCATCCTACAAAGACCACTTTTTGTCACTATGGTCAGGTTTGACTGTATAAAGAAAGTCCATGGACTATGAACTTTGATATAATGTGAATACCAAATCAAGAGGTTATCTTGTAATTATTTTTTAGAAAATGAAGATTTTTTTTTTTGGAATTCACCTATTTTTCATGACACACCTGACTTACCACCTCAATTCTATTTCATTAAAAGAAATTGAATAGGAAATCACAATGGTGTTTTAATACACTGACAGTTGGAATACTTATCCAAGCCTTTTTTCATCCAGTATACATCTCAGTTATTTAAACTCAATTCTTCTAACATACATGATGTACATCAAATTATGATTTTGTCAGAGTGATAATATTACCACTGTTATTACTAATCCATGAATGTAATAATCACGTTTTCTAACCGATTTCTCCTTGTTTTGTCTCTCTTTTTGTTGCCGTTTGTGTGCATGACAGTGATCCCATAGGAAGCCACTCTACCTCCCGACCCGACAGTCGCATGATGTCCGTCAGCAGCTTCACCTAGCCTCATCGCTTTGCTTTGCATGGATCTCAGTTTACTAGATCACACATACACACACACTTACATACTGTACCCTGATAGCAACTTATTAATTTGGTTTAATCTTTAGTTTTATCATTCCATCTAGTCAACCTAATTGTACCATTGAATGAATTCTTGAGTTCTGGTAATGTTGAGGGCATCAGAAAAACTGTCTAAAAGGACGGTCTGTGTTGGCTGTCATTTATGTAATGTTTTCCCGATGAAATACCAACTCTCAGGTCACTTGGCCTTGAGTTCGTGGAAAATTTTGATTCAAAATCAAATTTTATTTAACAATTAAACATAGTTTTGAAAACCTGCTGAAATTCGAATACAGAACTTGAGCATGTATATGCCCATATTTGACTATGTATTCCATTTGTAGGCTCAACCAATTTGACATTCTTATAATTCTATTCTATTGTTTTAATAATTTCAACATCTTATCAAAAACTTTTGGCAGATATCACTTTTTTCCTCAATTTTGGCACCAACTTAGTACACAGATTTTTTGGGATGTGGTGAGTTTTTGCTTCATTACCAGAAGACAAGATTGTTTTAGTTTGTTTGTGAAAGAAAGAAAGCCTTCCATTAAAATCATGTTTTGTTTTGTGCATGGATTAAACTCATGTCTTGTTTCATCCAGTGTTATATGTCAAACCTGTTTAGAAAGACCGCTTGGATGGGAGACACAAAAAGTTGTCTTTATAGGCAGTTGGTGTTATGTACAGTTTCCTCTTTAGATGCATGTTTCATTGAGAAACGTTACTCTTTTAAGGAAACCTGAAGAATGTGGTCCTTACAGACAGGTGGTCTTTCTATGCAGGTGGTCACTAAAGCAGGTTTGACTGTATCAAGCTTACAACCATGATCATAGACGTAATCACTGCTTAGTAGTAGAGATAAATGTCACTTGATAAAGTTGAATGATATACTTCCTAACAAAATGTTTGTGCATTTATTGTGAATAACAAATAACAACTTGTCGATTTGAAAATTAGTGTCGTAAAATGTTACTAGAATTGCAAAAGAAAAGAAAAAAAATTGCTCAACTCCTCTTGTTCAATGCAATGGCTAGGTTTTGCGCTTTTAATAGGTGCCAATTTGCAGCTCAAGCACTGTATATATTAGCTATGGAAAAAGTGTATGTAGATTATGTGAATAAATAAATATATCTTTCGTTTCAACCCCTTAAATTGGCATCACTATATTTGTCTTTGAATTTTGGATTCAGCAAATAAATAGCCTATTTATTTGAAAATATATGAATGATTATCCCATATTCAACTGAAACTGTCCCATAAATTATACCAACAAAGTAATCTATAGCTTCTTTAGCTGATGACCTGTTGTCACGACAAGAAAACTTTTTTTTAAAGATTACACTTTTTCTATTGAATAGAGGTAATTTACTGCATCAAACATGGACACAACTTATGCAGTCATTTTTGTTATTGTGTATTGTAATTCAAGGTGTGTATGATATCAGTTTGTGAATTAAAACAATGATATGTATGTGCCAGGTCACAAATATGCAACATTTTCATACCTAATGAATCTATTTAATTCATGCTGGAGGAAACCGTTGTGTGGTAGATGATGTCCTTGAATTCATATCGGCATGGTAATGCACATTTAATCCTTGTTTTCATACTCAGTTTTTAAAGTGCTCTGTTTAAACTGACCAAGCTACAAGTACCCGGGGTTGAATGGTAAAAATGAAACATGTATAAATGGACACGTACATGTATATCATGAATATTCAATGTCCATTGAAGTATAGCCCTGTAAAGATAATGACAATAATAATAATAATGGGCATTTCTATAGCGCTGTCTATCTAGATAATTCTATTCCGAGGCGCATTTATTATTACCGTAATGTTGATATGAACCCCATATGCTCAGTACAGGATTCTTGCAAGGAATGTCCCTTCGTAAGGTTGGAAAAGAAAGGCATTGTAATAACGATAATAATAATAATGATGACAATGATGATAATGATGTCAAGGATAGTGATGTCGACAAGAGTAACATGACAGACACCCATGAAGTACTTGAGACACCTTTAAAGTACATGGTTCAATGAAATATTTGTTTATACAAACAAAATAAACATACGCTATATGAGGTAAATGAAGTACGAGCTTCAAGCATTAGGCATGTTTGGGAGGAAACTGTGCCGGGGCACTGTGAAGGGAAAAAAGAAAATTGTTCCACTGTGACCAGAAGCTATTATCTCTCTCTGTTTATTTATAAGAAGATATATAATGAATGCAGAGCTACGGTAGATTTCAGTCTCTTTGAAACTCCAGTGCATGCTGCTCGAAATTTGTTGACACCATTTCCATGGCGATCACATGATCTCACTTCTGAGGTATCTGGGGTTGATGAACGTTTCATTCCTGCTGGTGCAATCCTCTATCTGTATTTCCATCTGACCATGAATTCTGTCGTAACCCTGCTGTGGAAAGCATCGCTTTGAAAGCAATGATTTCTTCACCTTTGTATCTTTAAAGGCATTGTTTCACAATGTTTCCAGTTTTACAAATCTGAGATGCATGGCCCTACATGTTATCAGTGTCTGTGATATGGTGTAATATTGAAGCCCTAAACAAATTGTGCTTCAAAATGATCATGAAGTGCCTCAAAAAATTTAAATCTTTGAGTGACCGTTTTTACCATAGGGTACTAATTTCCCCAATAGACTGTAGTGTTAAAAAAATCGTTGGGAAAACGGTTTTTGACATTTTGATTTTCCAATCATAGATATCTTGATAATCAGACAGGCGATTGGCTTGTAAAAGTCATGGGATTCCTGACTGACCTAAAGGTTTATAATTATGATTGCAGCATGAGCTGAATCCAGGATTTAGTTAATAATCTGAGACAAAGATACCCAATCCCTTTAATATACCGGTACGCATTACCCTTCTCATATATCATCAAGTATACTGAAAAGGGAGAAATCTGATTCTACATTTGCACACAGAGCATGTCTTTACTTCAGAGTGACCCTGCCATGCATGAGTACTATATATTAGGGTTAGGGTCAATCAGGGTCATGTCAGGTCATGCTTATAGGTTTAGAATAGAAGGGTCAGATTTGAACTTTCCAATGATCTTTTTTTCCCTTCATGAAATGCAATGCCATGCATAACCTTTATCCGCTACCATCGTCGTTCTGTTATAAACAAAATGCTCGTGTTGAACTCTAAGAATCTCCATCAGTTTCTACCTGTTTTTTGTCTGTTAATATGCCTTGAATTTAAGTTTTTTTTAATGAATTCAATTAAAATTCATTACTCCATGCACAGTCCATTTTATTGCCTGCCTGCACTATATCACACAAAAGCAGCTTACCAATTAGTTCGTGAGTTTGTGAGTTTTTCAATAACAAAGGCCGGCCATTAAATCTGGCACTTCTTGAATGTTTGCTAATCAACGCCTCGCAACCTTTTGAAATTGGGTAAAAGATGCACTAAGGTTTACAAGTCCCTTTTCTCCTTATTATTACCTAAAGTAAATCACAAAGTTCTTTATATTGACTGCTATTGTGTAGAGTTTTAAAGGCACACTGTCCTACTTGTAGCTACTTGCTCCCTCTATATAGAAAACTTCCCCAATCGGTGCCTGTTGGCCCCCCATGATCCTCTTTTTCTTATGTTAAATGAGAGCTGAGTTAATGAGATAGCCACCTGTCACAGTGACCTCGCTGGCTCGCTGGGTGGTCTAATCCCTTCCGACTGAAGTAGTAAAGCCTGCCTTTAAACTGAAATCCAGATTTCGTATGTAATGGTTGATTATAGTGGACCTGTAGTTTGTGGCTCGTCTCTTTATTGTGTGTCAGCACTATTTTCTACTGTTACGTGGTTTGAGGTATATTATGGATGGCAATTTTTAATTGATAATTTAATAAATGTGTCATTCTTAAGGGACTGCTAAAGCAGGATGGTGAGCTTGTGATTAAAATGGAAAAAATAATAACTAGGAAATCAGCCCTATAAACACTGAGGGTGCAATACCACAAAAAGTGGAATTACGTTTTTGTTAACTAAATGTTCAGTTGCCCATGAAAACAAAAGAAGGAAAGAAAGAACGGTATTGAGTAATTTTAAAGTAAAGGTTTTGTTTACATGTCTTGTTTGGACGTACTAGATTGAGTTCATCAGTATCTACCACCCAACAATACAAGTAAATTCATTTGGGGGAAAAAAAAACAATGACCAAGAAGTGACTGATTATACAGTTCATAAAAATGCCAGCCTATGTTCTGCTTCTTAATGGAAGAAGCGTCTGCATTTTTATTTTTATTGTCTTTTTCTTGTAACGCTGGTGCCTGTGATTTTCAATGAGAAAGTCGGCAGTCTGTGCATTTTTGATGATTTTTAGGGTATGTACAGATAGTCATGTTTCTATTACAGGTATCGTGGCACCAAGGAGATAATCCTTTGTTGTTGTTGTTGTTGTTGTTGTTAATTTTGTGTATTTAAAATTGGATTAACTGGTTTAATCCGAACAGGTGAACTTGGCGGAGGAGAGAGAGAAAGAGAGAGTAGGATGAAGAAGTTGTATATATTTTTATTCTGGAAATTCTTTAAATTAGTTTTATATGATATTGACTATACAAGCTAAGACATTTATACTAATGATGATGGTTAGATGTGCAAAAAACGTTGTTTGATGTCTGAAATGAACGATGACTATCACTCGTTATTATTGAGAGAGTATTATGGGATGCAATTGTTTTTGTTGATGTATTGATGCTGATGAATATGCAACAGAATTTTGAGTACTTAATTTATGCACATGAAAACTTGTTTCCCCCTATAAATTTTTAAGCATTTGTGCTGTTTTTTACGGGCTCCTTTCCCGAGCTGGACAGAGACAATGCTAGTCTTCTGTTGAATATTATTGTTAAATGTCAGGAAGTTGTCATTTGTTTTTTGACGATTGCACAATGTAATTTTTTGTTTTGAAACTGAGTATGACATACATGTATTTCATTTGCTTCCCGATCTTTCCATTTATTGCAAAAATGACATGAATTGTGAAAACAGGAAGGAATTATCACTAGATGCAGTTGAAAAAGGGCACAATGTTGTGTGTTTTTATCATAATATCATTATGGTCATGTTTGAGCAGAAGTTGAAATTTCAGCAAAGTTGTGTTTCCCACACAACCCCACAACCCCCAAAAAAAATTTTTTTAAATGTATATTCAGTACTTAATGCTCAAAAGTAAATACTGTGATAGATTTTCCCTGCTCATGGTATACTATGTATTAAAGGGAAAAATTATGATAATTTCTAGTTCTTTTTTATTTCTCTAAATCCTATAAGAATTATTTATTCCTTCACTTTTCTCATAATATGATATTGTCTTCGGCAAAATATGGCCCATTTGTATGTAAAATCGAAATATTACTGTACTTGATATATAATTTGATTGATATGTTTAATGAGATATAATTCTATTATTGCTTAAAAAATGAATGTATTTATAAGTTCATTATATTAAAGGTAAAAAATGTAAGATGTAGTCTTCAAAAGACAAAGTTGTATTGAACATATAGTCATTTTTGAGAACGGACAACATTAATATTGCCAATAATGAGGACCAACAGCAAGAACCAACAACAACCCCCCAAAAATATATATACATCTGTTAATAATCAGTTATTCACCCTATCAAAGGAAAATCAATTTGGTTATATTAAATTGTTATCACTAGGGCAAAACCTCCCCATACTGAAAAAAGCACAAGGATGCTCATAGCCTCCATGTTTTTCTTTATTCCTGATCCTTGCTAATTTTGTGTAGTTGAGGGTATTTTTTTGTCAGTGAAGAAAATGAAGGAAACCCCATGTTTTTGGATAGTTACGTCTGCTGAAGGGTTATGGGGCGGACAAGGTGGAATCTAAACTAATTTTATTACATATTTATTGATTGTTTCAGCATCTGATTTTATGTATTTAATAGTAGATACTAAAATAAAGAGATGGAAATGGCGTTGTTTTTATCCAGCTCTTCTGATGTCGAGGAGTGTGTGAGGTTGACTGAAAATAAAATATTGCCTTTATTTAAGAAGAAAAAATTATTGTGCTCTATTGATTGAGTTAGAGCATTCACTGTTACAATCATGCACCATCTAGATAGGTATAGTGAGATGTTTTAAAAACTTTGTTTCCTACTTGAAATGGAGGGATGAGTTATACTTGTAAATACACAGTGAATGTTATTTCTGGTAGCTATGAATGTTTGGGGTTCCGAGAGTTTTTTTTGTAAGAATAATTAACTGCATATTTCTAAATAATCAGAGACCTTTTATGATTGTACCTGCCATATTGAATGAAATAAAATGAGATCTCATTGCAGAATGTTTCATTGCTTCATTCTCGTTTCCGATATCGTGAGCAAAGATTACCAGGCAGAGAATGCCGCTTTTGGAGGACAATTGATAACCTCCGTTAGCGAGACAGGTTCTGTATCAGTGAACGCCCCGCGATATGTGAACCACATTGCTTGCTCCGCCGTTACATGCAGTTAGTTGTAACGACTTTCTAGAAATCAACCAAGCCAGTAAACCGGGGCCCGTATTTATAAAACCTTACTGAGCCTAGTACTGTAGCCTATACTAATAGTTGATAACTTGCTAGTAAGGTTGTATGAATATAGGTCCTGTTTGCTATAAAGTATATACACTGTCTTGAGATGTCTTCGTTGAAACTATGGGCAAGACGTCACAGAGTCACCGAGCCATGTTTTAAACATGTACCTCAAAATGAAGGCAGGGTATTTTTGTTTTTATGTCCTGCATATAAAAAAAAAAAAAATTCTAAAAGAAACAAAAAAGCATGTATTTTAATTAATTTAACAAATTTGTATTGAATTTTTAAAAAATTATCAAAGTAAAGTTTGAAAAAATATTGGCATTCTACAGTTTTCATTAAGAAAATTAAATTTTACAAAAAAAATTATCTTTTTGGGGGGTCAAATCCCAAATAGTACTTTTCAGAGCAACCTTAAAATGGTTGAAATATTTCTGGTCACGTGAAGAGCTCTCAACCAATCAAAAACCAATAAATTGTTGATGCACGATATAATATATTTTAATTTATGCATGTTTCAAACCCTTGGTTACCAACTGACTCCCTGACTGATGATCTAGACAGAGAGGGAGAGAGAGAGAGAGAGAGAGAGATAGAGAGAGAGAGAGAAAGAGAGAGAGAGAGAGGTGGGAGGGGCGAGAGAGAGGAACAGGGAGGGATTGAATAAATAAAATAGAGATATCCACAAACAATAGATGGAGCAACTGAACAAGAGCGATGGATGAAAGAAGGGGAGATAGAGATATAGAGACAAATTAAAGGAGAGGGGAGACATAGCAAAGAGAGAGAGAGAGAAAGAAGGAGAAAGCTAGAGGTTGGGGTGGGGGAGGAGGGATAGATTTTATACTATCAACCCCTCGCCTATCGCGATCAAAAAACCTACAGCATTTTGTACTTAGTAATATCTATAGCACATTTTC